TCTTGTCTTTTCCCCTGTGTTTTATCCCATGTAAACTTGGTAATAAATACCACACGGTGATGGGGTCTGAGGGCTCTTTTAGCACCAGCTCATAGTAGCCTCAACAAATACTTGTTTGGGGGCTGGATGGACAAATGAGTTCACAAAGACAAATGTGATAAGGCGCTTATCTAGGATCCCCATTTTTTGCTCCCATCTCTTCTTTCTTCTTTTTATTTCTCTTTTCTTTTTTTAAATAAATAATAGTTTATTTTTACAGCATTTTGTGCTTTTTCCCATCTCAGTTGTAATCCCCATGGGCTTACCACCACCAGATCACCCGTGTGCCATCACCATAGTTCCGTGCACTTCCCCTCCCCCCACCCCCCCACTCCACCCCTGGTATTTAGCTGTTCATTACTATTGCTATTTTCTTGCCTGGTCCGTTATACTCCTGCTATGAGTAAAACCATCCAGTATTTTTCCTTTTCTTTCTGGCTTATTTCACTAAGCATGATCTTTCCCAGCTCCATCCATGTTGCTGCAAAAGACATGTGTTTATTTTTATTGGTTGCTGAGTAATATTCCATTGTGTACATGTACCACATCTTTTTAATCCAGTCATCTACTTTTGTCTGCCCCCATCTTTTCAATCAATACTGCCCCCATGTTGCTGGATGAATAAAAGACTAGATCACAATGTCCCTTCCTCCCTATTTGCCCGAGACTATCCAAATTACCTCTGTTATTCTAATTTGATGTTAATAGTAACCCCTTTCACTCTCAAAAGCACACCAATTTGGGTAATAAAGTCTGCATATAAGGATTTTAGAACTCAAAAGGGCAAGCCCTGACACAGCTGGGAAAAAGGCCTGACCTATCTGTCCCCTCTCCTATAACTGCTTGGCTGTGGGAGCAGAAAGCCGGAGAAGGCAGGGCAGTTATACGCAGATATAGAGTGGGAAAGGGTGGTTCAGTTACAGCTTCCCACCACCACTCCACAAATTGGGCCAAACACTGAACCCCAACCCCATCATTATCAGACCCCAGCATTAAAGTAGGGAGCCTGGCAGGGTCAATTGAGCCAGCCCCCTACCCAGTCCTAGGCTACTGCCCCACTAATCTCCAAGGACCCAGAGGAGCTTAAGTTCTCATCCAAAATCCCCCCAGGAACCTTAAGTGGGAGGAACAGACATGAGAGAGCAAGAAGCTCACAACAGGGAGACAGAGGCCACTGTGTGGGCCTAGGGACTAGATAATCAGCAAGGATCATGGCATGAGGTTTCAGGAAGCCATTCTTCCTACCTCTTAGCCCCTGGGAAAACAAGGGGGGTTAACTCCCAGTAACAAATTTAAACTTAAAAGACAGATTCTACTGAGTTGGCTTGGTAAAAGTGGGTGTAACTAAATTAAACTTCCCACATTAGAGTGGGAGCTCAAGTTAGAGATTAAATTATTACAGTAAAAGAAAGGAGTATATTTTTTTTACCTCTGTGTGTGTGGCCAGTAACAGGTTTCTAATACTATGCCTTCTAATGATTACAGTATTCTGTTTTATAAGTGACTGCAATTTATTTAATCATTTTCTATCATAGGACATTTGGATTTTCCCAACCTTTTATTATTAAGTTACAGGAGCAAACCCCTTAGCAAGTGCAAATCTCTAGTCGCACCTATGAAGGCAGACTCCCAGGGGGCTCCAGTGACCCCCCCCTGCCTCCTATATTTATGTCCTCAGAGTCTGCTCCCACCGCCAATAGCTCTGACTTATGTAGCTAGCAGGAGGTCGTAAAATTGGCTGCGTGTGAATTCCAAGACCGACATAAAAGTGCAGGGCTTCTCCCTGGATCTCTCTTGGCTTACTCATTGAGCTGCCATGGCAAGGGGTCACCTGACCAGCCCCTGGCGAGGTCTGCCTGGAGAGGAGCATGGCCGCCTGCCAACAGCCATGTGAGGGCATCAGTCAAGGCTTCAGCTGGTACAGCCCCAGCCAGTGTCTCAACTTGGCAGACACCTTAACACACAGCCACCCAGCTAAGCAGCTCCCAGATTCCTGCCCACTAAAACAGTGTTTATTAAGTTTTTGGCTATTGTTTCTACATTTTATTAATTTTTAAAGATTTATTTATTACTGCACAAATAAAGAGCTGGGATATAGGTCAGAGATGCAGGAGGTGAGGGGATTCACCAGAGACAGAGTGGGAAGCAGGACAGGCAGATCTACTGATATAGACTGCTGAGGGGAGCAGTGGGTGAGACAGGAGGGGGTCTACTGTGCCATGTCTGTCAGCTCCCTGGCTGGGGATCGAGCTTGTGCTGCAGTGGCTGTGGACAGCTTGGTAATGCTGTATCTTAACCCCTGGTACCACCCGTTTTTACATTTTTTAAAAAGATTTATTTATTTGTGCATACAGAACTGGGGTACAGGCCAGAGGTGCAGGGGTGGTAAGAGGAGACAGAGTGGGGAGCAGAACAGGCAGGCTGAGAAGTACACTGCTGAGGGGAGCAGTGGGCGGGTCAGGAGAGGTCTGCCGTGTCATGAGGTCACGTCTGGGGCAGTTCTTACATTTCTAAAAGTACAGGTTCATTAGGAAAAGGAGAAAGAAAAAGAGAGGCACCTGCATAGACACAGATGGGCAAAAGAGATGCTTGTTTTGTTCTCCTTTTTAATTAATTTATTGTTTACATCATCATTTACATTTGGATAGTATTTGTTCTCTCCCCTCAGACATAGTCCCCATAGTTCTCCTCCCACCATAGCACCCATGATCCACCGCCACAGTCCCTTGTGCTCCTCCCTTCCCTGTTTTGACCTGGCTCCCTCCTCCTTCACTGCTGTATGCCTCAAATTTATGGCAGTTATAAAGTTATGTCTTTTTTGTCCCTGCAACATTTTTGGTTTCTCTATAGTCCACATATAAACACAACCATCTAGTATTTATCTTTTTTATTTCTGACTTATTTCACTTAGCCTAGTTCCAATCAGCTCCACCCATGTTTATTGTTTCAAGCCACTGAATTTTGGGTGAATGTGTTAGCAGTAATAGATAACACGTGTATAGGTTAAATACAGGTATATGCATATAGCATAATGTGCACATATAATACAAAGACACAGACATAGACCTACACACACCAGCACATAAACTAATTCTTAGTAACAGAAAATATGATAGGGTCTTCGGATGTGGTCCTCACAAATGTCTTTAGATAGATCAATACATTGTTAAGCCTCTTACTAGAAAGTCTGTCCCAGTTTATACTCTGACCAGCCTGTCTGTGTACGTCTGTTTCTTCTACATTTGTCAGCAGTCAGTGGGATCTGTTTGTGGAGGGAAGACAGCTCACAGGTGTCCAAGAAGCCAGTTCAATTACAGGCTGCTGCAATGTGTCCTTAAACATTCGGAAAGATATTACTTGAGATGATGTTGATGCAATGAGGATGGCATCTCCGCCCGTTGTAGAAAGCAAGCCTGGCTCTTGGTTCAATCCTTTCCTGACAGGAAGTATTTAAGGACTATTTAGAGCAGCCACAAGTAATGCTCAAGTAGTCAAGCTGAACAGAGCCTGGGACTCCGCGTCCTTGTTGTCTAGAGCTCTTAAATCAGCCAGAGTTATTTTGTAAAAACGTGCTAAGTGCCTTAGTGCCGAAGCCCTCAGGCCCCTGGGTCTATGTGACAAACCCCCCATGGTTTATTTTAAAGCAGGATGGTGGGATGTGGTGCACAGCGGCAAGGATCTCTGTGTCAAATGTTATGGACAAAGTCCGGTGGCATGAAATTTGCTGCCTAAATGCAATCACAGGATTCTTTCTAAAAACCTTTCCTAAAGTTGCCATAAATAGATGATCACGTCTTAGGAAATATAAAGGGGCGTTTTCTTACAAAATCAGAGCACTGAGTCTCTTGGGTGATGGTAGGTGGTTTACTTGTTTGATTCCATATTGAAAACAGCTTTCCATCACATGACTTGGATAGTGATTCAAACACTAAGCATCTAAGGTAATGCTTTTCTGCCTCTTCACACCCTGCTTCCTCACCTTCATCTGTGGATCAAATGAGTTCTGCCTCGAAAGAAAGTTCCACCCATGTGCACAAGAAAGGGTGTGTGTTGGTGGGCAGGAAGGGGCAGCCAATGATGATGGAGAAGGGATGGAAAAAAGAAAACCTCATGCAAGTACACTGAGTTGTACTGCTTTGAGTACATTAAGTTGACAATTATTCACATGAAATCTTTTAACATATTTAAGCAGTCTAATTCTTCATTTCTTCTTGTTTTCATAACTTATCTCTTTGACAATAATTCATACAGCAAAACAGACTAATAAAACATACCTTCAAGTTATGCAATGTCATCATTCTGGTCTACCTGGCTTCATATTTTATGTCATGAAAGAAAAAAAATTTACGGCCACTAAGTGCCTTGTTCTCCCTCATCCTGTTTACTGTCATTCTTCCCAGAAATAATCACTTTCTTCAAGTTGATGTTTTTCCTTCATTTTTTTTTCTTACTTTCTCACAATACACACACATTCATAAACAACTAACATTACTGGTTCTTTATAAGTTTGTAGATTTCTTTTTTACCTTGTTTTCTTTATTTGGAGCCACAGCTCTGTATGTAGCTCAAGCTGCACGCTGCACCCCCACATCAGGGGTTCGGTTCATGCAGATCACTCCTTGAGTGACTTCCTGGGGGGTGTACAGTGTGGTAGTCCCACAACCCACACACGCTGATGCATGAGAGAACTGGCATTTGTTTTAATTATCCTGTAGTTTTCGTCATGTGTTTCTGCCACATTTTATTTGTGAATTTCTTTTTTCTTTCTAATTTATGAATTTCTTTAAGGGAAGACTACCTTTGCTATTGCAAACAGTACTGGTGAACTTCCCGATGTGTGTCTTCACTGGTACAAGATACATGTGTATCTGAGAAGGCGTCACTCTTGTTCTGAGGCAACTAAGTAAAATTGTTAAAAAATTATTCTATTGAACATTATAATAAGAAAAAGACAGACTTGGTAAAACTTAAAATATTTATTAGTATGAATCAGTGTGTGTTAACCAACAATAAGAGATACACGGGGTGTTGCCAGGCGCAATGCTGTAGCACAGAAGGCAGATGGAAAGGTCCTAACAGTCTGCAGGGGTGTCTTCTATTGCACAAACTGGGGCCAGCCCAGACAGAGCCCTTTATAAAAATACGAGAAAAGGAGCAATTTATACAACAGAGCACTGACACTGGCCCTGGTTTCAACAATGATGGTTAAGAGAGTAAAAAGCTGTTTAACAGGTCAGAGCCCTTAATTTATAAGCTAGTTCATCATTCAACTCTCTACGGGCACTGCAGAAAAATGAGAAGTGGAGCTCCCTAGACCCCACTGATTTTAGCCATCACAGACCATATTCCTAGGTCTTAGAGGAAGTCTTTCAATCATCCAAACCTTGCTCAGAAAACCATTTAGATCTCTCCTTGGTACAGCTTTCTTGTTAGCTAAAGGTTAGATTCTGTCTTTTAACCTCCTGTAGTCTGAAAGTAACATCATATTGAGCACCCGAATGTACCATTTTCAGTTATAAAATGGCAAGTCAATTATGTACCTAGATAGACTGTTTGCATGACTCTGCTCCCATCACAAGGATTGCCTTGGGAAATCATCCCTGGGAGGATTCATGCCTACATTCCATTAACACGTAGCCTTTAGCCAAACTCAGCGAGTAAAATGGATTATATGTTGGCATAACAAATACAAAACCCTATTTACAGATGTACACATACAGACCCATAGGAAAGAAAAGAAAATGGCAGGAAAGGAGCACGTTTTAGAAGACTGTGAAGGATGCTACATCCCATGGAACTACTTGACATTTTGGAACGATAGTTATTTCCAAGTTTTACATGATATTAGGTGGTTATCGTTTAATTATTAGAATAGTCAGAAAGTAAACTCAAGGCAAAATAAAGGCAAACAAGAAAGCATCATTGTGGACAAGACTCAGGCATTTTTCTTTAGAAGTTTCCAAGTTTTCGCAAATGTGTATGTAACCAAGTATCATTTACTCTCTCTTCACCGATTGTGCCCTGTAGTGATTTTATATTTAGTTATCTGGCTGGCTTCCAAAGATAAGGTCATACAGAGAAATAAGCGTGTTTCATACGCTCATATGCTTGTGAAATAAAAGCACAGGCTCACTCGTGGGTAGCTCATGGCATATGGCTACCACTAAAGAGGCCAGAGTCAACTACTAAAGACCCAGCCCAACATTCAAAACTCTGCTGGGATGAGTATTGTCTTAGCCAGACAACCTAAGCAGCTGTCTCCAATAAACTCAGATTCTCAGGAACAGCTGGATAAGTAAATGTTCTAAAATAAGCCCGCCTGTCACTTGGGAAGAGGTCATTTCAATTTTCAACCCCAATTTTTAATCTTTGGAAAGATGTATGGCAATTGCTTGGCCTGCAAGCAGAGTTACATTAGCTAGTAATGTTGACAATATGGAGCAAAGTCTAAAAATCCCTGCCAAGGCTGAGCCAAGATATCCAAATGCCAGTTGCTAATGGTTTTTGAGGAACCTATCTGGGGGAGTTAAGAGGCACTCTTGAACCAAAAATATTTCACATTCTAAGACTGTCAAACTACTCTTGCCAGCTGGGTGAAGCGGTAAGAACATCAAGTTGACAGCACATTCTTGAAATAAAAATCAGAATCTGTGATTCCCACATAACCATTTTTCTTGCCCACTGTCCACATAAAAAAGTGTAAACACGGCAAGGGTCTTTCAGTAACAGTGGCTTTTTGTCCATGATGGACTCTGTCTCTACCTGCCTGGAGCGTGGTAGATGCCGCCAATACAGGACTCCAAAGCGCAGTTCATTCTGCTGTTACTGAAAGTTCCAGGCTTTTAATCAGCTCACAGTCTCTTTCCTGGCTTTTCTATTATAGCTTTTCAACAAATGTTTGTTGGCCCTTGCATGTTCCTGGCAAAGAAGGACCTCCTGGCCTTGTTACCACACTGCATGGTTAATTGCTTATGGGGCTGTTCTTTCACAGCTTCCTGGACCTCCGGAATGTTCTTTAAGAATCACCTATAGGAGCCTAATAGGAAACGAACTGCTTCTTGATCCCAGGTTTTCATGGATGTATTAATGAACATTTTTGCTAGTAGTATTTAGGTTTTGGATTTTACTCTTCCTTTTCTCACTGCCTTTTCTTACTTTGGGTTCAGGCATCTTTAATTAACTGAGCAGCCAAGGAAGCGGAAAAGGAAGATTTTTATCAAGGCCTATTCTCAGGTAACTGGCACTTCAGAATTGGACCTTTGCCCAAATACCCACACCTCCTGGAGCTTGGCACCTCCTTAAGCTTGGCACCTCCTTAAATGTGTTCTCTGATTTTGTAATTTCTAGAGTGTAGGATCTTAAGATGTTGTGGCTTTCTGTGGCTGGTTTTCCTGCAACCTGCTATTCATTGCATTGTTAAAAGTTTGCCTTACAATGTGGGCTGTCGCAGTTAATTTTTCCCCCTAGAAATAACACTATGACATATTGTTTTAGTAAAATACTCTGTGCATTAAACTTTTCTAAGAGAATAGGAATTTATTGCCAGGCAGTCTCTGGAATCCTCTTTATATTCTAAATCTGCCACTGTTCACACAGTAACTGATTAAATGACCTGCACGCCAGGTCTTCCAACCCTAAAATTATATACAATGGTCAGATGGGGTTTGTTTGTATATGACCAATACTACTTTGTAAAATGTTCAAGTCAAAGTCAGAGATATAGACAATGCTCTCTAACATATCTTTCTCCACTTTTATGATATCACAATCCAATTACCCTCCACAGAAAGGCAAAATAAATTAACCTTTTTGGTTAGGCTCAGGTGAAGGCTGGTTAAGTAAGCTAAGGCACTGAAGAAGTGACTGCAATTCCACGTTAGCATCTCACACACAAGCCAGGAAGACTTTTGTACAGTGGGAGAATATCTTAAAGTTTAACAAAACACTCAATTTAATATTTACCAAATATCCGGTCTCTCCTGTGTGCATCTAACACACTAATAGCCACTTTGCAGCAGTGTGGTGGTCATTTCCAGAGTTTTCTAAAATCTTTTTCTGGGAACAACTCCTGCCCCCATTCCTGGTTTTTCGGGGTGAAAAGCTAGCGTGTTCACTTCTCTCGACGTAAGGTGCAGGCCCCCGAGCACGGGAGGCCCCGGCTTCGAGCACAGCGGGCCGGCCCAGGGTCAGCAGCACCGCCGAGTGGCTTGCGAGGTTTGCTTCCCAAGTTTGATTGCTCCGTTGTTTCCATTTTCATGAGGGTCCAACGGTGGGATCTGGCGACCTGGAACAAAAAAGAGGCTAAGACTGAGCTCTTTTGTCCCAGTTGATGTGACATATGGGGATAATCTATTTCAGCACTTCCACGTAATGCCTGGGTGGTGTAGGAAGTAGGACAGGAACAGCATTTCCGGTCTCTGTCCCCCCTTATCGCTTCCTTCCTCCTATTCCCTTCTTTTCTTCCTGCCTCTGCTGCATATCAAATTCAAAGTTAAGAAAAAGTTAAAGCTGTTTCCTGACAACACTGATTTCCTTCAATTTGGAACCTCTTGCAAATGAGTAAGGGGAGACCCCTCACCCAGGCTCTGAGTCTACTAGTTTCTCCCCAGTCTCCCTAGAATACATCCCACTGGGAAGAGTATCCCGGCAGGGGCTCTGGGGCCTGACAGTAACAGAGAGTGCTCATCTCTTCTGCAGCTTGAAAGATGCCAGCTCGGTACTGTGAACTTCCTGGTAAGGTATCACTTACTAACTCTCGGTCCCCACTTCTCACCCTGCCAATACACTTAGAGCATAAACTGGGAGCCCTGAGACACTTCATAGGAAACGCTATATCATGCCACCCACAAGTAACCTCACTTTTATTTCATGCATTTTGAAGCATTATTCTAGAGTTTCCGTAAAGAAACACAAAGTAAAAATGAAAAGGCAAAGAAGGGAGGGAGGTAGCAGATAGGGGTGTGGGCTTCACTGAGAGATGATGAAACTGTGAGGGTGGTTACAGATACCCATGACTCCACTAAAATTCACTGAACACATTAAATGGGTGAAATCAGTATGTGAGAGTTTATAAAAATTCGTTTTTATTGATATGTTATTAAGATAACATATCATTACCCAAGTTAAGGTATACAATGTATTGATGTGACACATCAGATATTACAGTAAGATTTACCACTCTGGTGTTAGCTAACACCTCTATCGTGTCACATAATTATTTCATTTTTTGTGGTAGAAACAGTTAAGAGTTAGTCTCTTAGCACTTCTGAAGGGTATAGCATTGTTTCCTATAACCAGACATGTGGTTTTTTTATTTCCACAAAGCTATCTTTAAAGAAGGCAATAGAATCTGTCATGGAAGCAACATATTTAGAATCTCACAGTTTTCAAAGAATTTCACTGCCTTACCCCTGTGAAGTTGATGCAGTGGCTATTATTACCATAGTTTACTATACCCCCAAAGAGCTTAGCTTATGTGTGCTCAAGGTCACACCAAGAGTAAATGGCATAGTGGTTCTTTGATTCCAACTTGCATCTTGATCTTCTGACAAATCCCCAAATCTTTGTCTTCCCACTCTTTCTGCCAACATTTTGTGATACTCTTTGAGGCCCATGAAAAAGGGATGAAAACTAGCTCTACACTGATCATTTTTTTTATCAACTCACTAGTATATCAGTTTACCACAAACCAGTAGTTCTGTATGAAAGGGCAATCTTGCCAATGAAAGTTCTCTATGCAGATGGATGTTACCTAAGGACCATAAAGTAAAGCAAAACACCCTGACAGAGGAGCATTTCCACAGGACAGTGAGTTAATTTCAAAGTTATTAATGTGTTGTGTAGATTTGGTGGCAGGGCCATTCATCAAAGCTCAAGCATAAAGAGTAAGATTAGTGGCAATTATTCATAATTCAAAACGAATGGTTGAGCTCTTCATCTAAGGATGAAACGGAGAGGAAGACTGTAATCATTTGTACCTTCACTGCTTCTGCCAGCAAATCTACACACAGCTTCTGTAGGCCATTGACAAAAAAGCTCAGAACTAATCCAGAAGCAAATGAGAACATATGATTTTACTGTCTTCTGTCAGACACACTGTGCTTTTTGTAATTATTGTTAGTCACAATTAAAGGAAGTAATCAATATGTCTCTTCTACTTCATCAGTTTTAAGCGGTAAAGGCAAAAGTTCCTAGTAACCATTGCCTAGTGCTCTGTTTTATGCAGGTCAGATTTTGTCAATCAAGTGTTACTCCTGGAGAGAAAATGATATGCTTTGGAAGGATGGTATCATTAAATTATATCATTATTTAAGGTATTTAACTTAGTAATATTTACAGTGCCTCCCAAATGTGAAAAGCGCTACAATAGTGACTTCTACTTGTGTGTCTGAAAAACTTTCAGACAAAATTATGATTGGTGCAACCTGTTGCCCTTAACTAAGATAAGTACTGCTTTCTAATTGGTATTTTTGCAATATCAAAATCAGTGTTGTATACTAACATCAGCTTCATGCAATTCTTACATTGTGAACTTTGAAGTCAACAAAATAGCATCCCTCTTTCAGCCCTCTTCTACATGCCTTGTGTCATAAATTTTCATAAGTTTTTCCCTATGAAAATTACCCACCCACCTGTTGGTGGTCCAACGGGGAGCACTATGAAGCTATCTACAGCCACTGAGGCATGAGTTCAATCCCTGGCCAGGGAAGTGACCCACATGGCACAGCAGACCTCTCCTGCTTGTCCCCTGCTCCCCTCAGCAGTGTATTTCAGTTGATCTACCTGTTCTGCCCCCCAGTCTGTCTCTGGTGAATCCTCTCACTGCCCCTGCACCTCTGGCTTATACCCCAGTTCCTGTATCAGGCATAAATAAATAAATCTTAAAAAAAAAATTACCCCTAAGCAAAAAAGTTTATATATGTAAGATATTATTAAAATCTCAAAAGTTAAGTGAAACTCTGGAAGCAAGGGGCATACAGGAAGCAGAAGGGCTGCTACACCCATCCTTGATCTCCCCTTTTCCTCCCTCTTTCCTGCCTCTCCCATCTCTGCAGAGTAAACAATAAGCCAGACTATGGTTGGGATAGGAGTGAGATTAAGTAAAACCAGAGACTCCTTTCTTTTATCTCAAACTGTCAGCATTGTTGTTAAATCAGTTGTTGAACCAGGCCTCTTAGAGGCTCCAGGTTCTGTTTATCTTCAGAATATTCAAACCTTCATTTATTAGAACAAAATATTTCTCTACTATTTTCTCAAATTTCATTTTTCTCATCTGGCAGAAAGAGTTCTGAGATCTGAGAGTCAGAGTTCCAGGGAGTGAAAAGGACAAGTTGTTTAATACCTGCAGGATGTCCTTTCTTCACCTATCAGATGAAAAAGATGAAGTGGCTGGACACTAACAATACAATATAGATGTTTCTAACATGGAAGAAACTAGTAACACCGATAGAGATCTCAGAAGTCTCAGGGCTCCAGCAGAGTTTTCAAGGCCTCCCTGTGGACCCCACCCTGTTCTTCCATAGGGCACTCTAGCTTCTTAGTTGAGAAGAAAAGAAGTGTCTCCCCTGTAAGGGGGTAAAGTGAGGAAGAGAGAGAGGAAAGCATGTCATAACCAAGAAGCAACTGCCTTAAAAAGAGAAGGAAACAGGACCCTCCCTAGTGTCACAAGGGGTTAAAGCACAGCACTATGAGGCTGTCCATAGCCACTGCAGCACAAGTTAGATCCCCAGCCGGGGAGGCCATCCACATGGTGCAACAGACCTCTCCTGTCTGCCTGCTGCTTCCCCCAGCAGTGCTTTTCAGAATATCTACCTGTTCTGCGCTCCCCACTCTGTCTCTAGTGAATCCGCTGACCCCCTGCACCTCTGGCCTGCACCCCAGTTCTTGCATGCATAAATAAATAAATCTTTTTTTTTTTTTTTTGGAAGGAAACAAATACAGACCTCCCTGGTGGCTCAGCAGGTTAAAGCACAACACTGCAAAGCTGGCTACAGCCGCTTGGGTGCAAGTTCAATACCAGCCAAGGAGGTGACACACATGGCGCGGCAGACCTGTCCTGATCCGCCCATTGCTCCCCTCAGGAGTGTACTTTGTGGATCTGCCTGTTCTGCTTCCTGCTCTGTCTCTGGTGAATCCTCTCACCATCCCTGCACCTCTGGCCTGTAGCTCCTCTCCCCCCAGCTCTGTATGTATAAATAAATAAATCTTTAAAAAAAGGAGAAGGGAACAAACAGCCCTGCAAAAATGCAAAAGCTCCCATCTTGTGGTCTGGGTTCTGTGGTGCTTACTGCAGTGTAAATGTACTCAGGTAAAAGCAGAGTTCTGGAAGATAGCCACAGAGTTGTGTAAAAAGGTGATCACCTTGGAACACTGTTGACTCGGTATAAATTACTCAGGCCCAGACCAGAACAGAAAACGTATACAAACATCTGAAAAGACTCTGAGCGGCATTTATATGTTTCTACTCTTACAAAATGTTCTGGAAATGTCCATAATAGGCACCCCTAGAGGACAGCTCCTAGGCCGGAGTGTTTATTTTAATGAGGCAGGAATTATGTGAGATTCTGCTTGGGAAAAGTGAAAAGACTGTTTTTTGAAGTTCAGTTTTCCTGCCAGTTGACAGCCTAGAGAAAAAGCAGGTTTTATAAATGATTCCTGAGGAATGCAGTACATGAAAAAAACAAATTCCAAGCCTATAAATTTTACCATGGCTCTGGACCAGGGGCTGTAATGCTTTTACACATAACAAAAATAAAATGGTATGTTCAGCTGCAGCTGTTCCTTTTCCTCGTGTAGGGGATCGGCCACTTCCTCTGTGGGCTTAGCGAAGTCTTATCTCCTTTCATTTTAGGTCTATTTACTAACAGGCTATTCTGTTAGGTGTTCGTGGTTCTAGTTGTTGCTATGTAACTTTCACTTCTTGATCTTAATTTTCTGAATAATCCAGATTAGTACATTGACCAGGTTTACGAGGACTGTGCTGTACTTACTCTTGATAATGACCTTTAAAGTCTCTCCACTTAGTGAGGTGGGTCTCTATGGAACACAGCCAAAAAAGGTTCACCATCATGAAACACTGCCTTATAAAAACAGAATGGGCAAGAACACTGTGTGTTCTCTGCAGCTGGGGCGGCCAGGAAGCCCTGGTGGCATGTGGGAGCAGTTGTACGTGGGGCCCATCCTGGAAAAGCCACACAGGGTTGGGAGTGTCGACTTAAATGATGGGACCAGGTCCTAATCCCTGTGGTTTTCCATGGGAACTGGTGATGTATAGGTAGCTGTTGC